GCGAGAACTCAGGCCGCATAACGACATACTAGTTCAAGGCGAAAGAGAAAAGGGTCTCAGCACTTAGACTATGTTTGGGTATCGTTGTTCATAGCTACACACCTCTTCGCCTGGAATATTTTCCCAAGAAGCCAGATTTCCTCGTAAATTTCCATAGTTGATAGTCGGTTGAGCCTGAAACATTGTAGATAGGAGGCATATGGCTTCGTAGAGCGTCTTCTTGTCCAGGTCGGCAGATGAAGACCCTAGCACGCTGTGCAGGATGCGGAGGCAGTCTGTGTGGATTGGAAACACGACACTATCTCCGTCCAAGGTCCAGTAGCTGTAGGATGAAAAGAGGCCAATCAGCGCGTGTATGCGGACTGTGAGATTGGGAAAGTCATGCTGTTTCATACGTGTGCAATTCGTCATGGTACCTAGCGGGCTCATTGGGGTCTTCCAGCCGTTAGCTTGATGACTCGCTGCGTTTTAAGCTGTAAGGCGGGACGTGTTTCACTTGTTACCTGATCCCCTATTGATGCTGACACGACCCTGATTCCGAGATGTCAGTCGCGCCGATCAGATGGGGAGAGAGAGAGAGAGAGAGAGCCTACGTGGTCCGTATGCGACGCCGAGCCAGAAATATACGCCCTAAGAAGGAGCCAGATTCAGTGACTGCACGCGGCTATTTCCAGGCATGCACCGAGTGTTCCACGTACTGGTTCGTTTCCATGTTCAGGTCTAAGCAGGCGAAATCGCCCTGCCATTCGGTATCCTCCGGGCTAACCAGAGTCGGGTCGTACACGCAACCCTCCTCGTCCCAGTCCCAGTCGATCTCTGACTCGTCGATGCCCTCGGCATCTTCTTCTTCGAAGGCCGGGTAGGGGTTAGCTTCTTTCCCGCTTTCGACTTCTTGTTTAATTGCGGCAATGACCCTGCGTCTGATGGCGAGCATCAGCGGATTCGTAGATCCATAGCTTTCGTCGCCACCGCTGCCCGCCATGGTGGCGCAGAGTGCGCAGTAGAGGTCCCAATCGCCCATGACAGCTAATTGAGGCCGATGGATGTGAAGAGATGAACGTGCGGATGAGGTTTGATGTGGTCGGCAAGGGCTGAAATATTGCGGGGGTGTTTGCGGCGTGGTTGGTGTTGCATTCAGCTTGTGTCAGCGACGGGCTTTTACGAGGCGAGGGAGGTGTCAGGCTCACAGGAGTTCGCGGCGATCAGGTAAATTCACATCCGTTATGCATGATGGGACGCAGAGGAGGCCGCTACTCGGTGCGCAACCGACGTACTTTAGCTCCATGTCCCACCACCCCTTTTCGACACCCAGTCCGGGGAACAGCCACCATGTTTGATACCCAAGAATCATGTCGGAATGGCAAGCTATTTCCTTGGTTTCTTTAAAAGCTAGGAGTTTGTGTGTCGGGTACTGCTGTCTTCTAGCTGCGCGTACCTTCAGGATGTTCTGCGTTATACAACCTTCATCCGCAGAGCCAGCAAGGCTTTGCATCTTTGCGGGCTGCACGGAGAAGCTATTTCTAGTTGCGATTGGTACTGGTAAGATATATCTAGACCTATAATATCAACCAGGCTTTACCAAGGCGAGAAGCGAAGATGCATAATTTATACAGGCAAGGTGAAATTAAGAATGTTAAACCATTTTACCGGAAACCGACGGCAAACAAGCCTGGGTTTGAAAGACAAGACACGCGCTACGAAGGCTGCACATTCCGCAGCCGCGGGGTCGATGCGAACCATCTCATCTGGACATTCGCAGCTGATGTAAGCGGCATGCTGTACCCCGCCATGTGCTATCCTGTAAGGAGAATTACGGTTTAATTATGTTGTGCCGAACCTCGGGACGAGAGTTCAGCCCCAATTCCAAAGTGAGATATCTCAGCCAACACATCGTAAGCAGAATTCTCTTCAACTCGTCACACTTGTTTCAAATGCCAATTATTATTGTTTAAACAAATCCTGACGTTCCCGCAAGTGTTTAGGTCATCGAACTCCTTCACGACCCTTCAGTCTGCCCTATCCGAGTACACCGCCATCCAACTATCGAGCGAGCCGCGAACCTGATCCGTGATATCTATAATGGATCCCTCGGTACAGACTCTTATCCAGCATTTCAGCTCTATTCCCTGGTGCAGGAAGCATCTGGACCGCCCAAACCAGGTCTTTGCGCCTGCTGACAGCCGCCGCTCCGAACGCTCCACTCAGTATTTCTTCGACAAGACACTCAACACTGCCGACACCCTCCCCCAGTTCCTCGTATTCTACGATCCACCCCAGCCCAAGGAATTCGTCACGGAGGTCCGGGCCCTCGTCACGCTAGGCAAGGACGTTGCGGGCCACAAGGGTGTGTGTCACGGCGGCATGGTCATGTCCATCCTAGACGAGGTTGCTGGAGAGTTGGGAGGCATGAACCAGCTGTCCGGGGCGATACAGCACAAGATGCTCGTGACGGCGTATCTAAACACAAAGTTCATCAAGCCATTGATGGTGCCTTCGACGGTGTTTGCGAGGTCATGGGCCACGAAGACGGAGGGGAGAAAATATTTCGTGGAGGTTGTTATTGAGGATGAGAATGGGGTAGCATTGGCTTCAGCCGACGCCTTATTCGTGGGTGTGAAGGAGCAGGGGAAATTATAGAGCTGTCCTCTCGCGTTAGCGCCAAGTCAGTGTGCGCATGGCTGATATATAGACGGGGTCGGGCCATAGTCATCTTCAATCGTACAGGCAGAGCCTCGCATTCAAGATGATCAAAAGGCTGCCATTTATGGAAGAACAATATGTCACTTTTGGAACCTTCCGACCAGGATAGCGTCGATCATGGGGATATTCAAAGCCATACTTAGGGGCTCAAGCTAAGCGCCTGGGCTCACTCGTCGGCTATGCCCTTCGTCCAGTTCGTTACATTTCGGCGTTTCGGAACAGCACGGGAAACAATTACACGTTAGTTTTGATACCCTGTGCATGGGGCTCAGGATCTTCGAGCCGTTGAACCGGTGAGAAGAAGGTCATGATAGATGCAAACTAAGAGAGAAGCACATCCGCACTGGCAAGGCGAGCCCTCTCTCGGAAGACGGCCGAGAAGACAAAGAAAGTGGCCCGCTCCTTGCCTGTTCTTAAGGACCCTGATTGGAAACTTGCTCTGTTTTCCACGAAGGAACAGGCCAGTGAACACCAAGGATGGTGAGAGAGACAGAAATTAGTGACGACTGGGTGCTGGCTAACCATGCAGCGGCCTGGAGACCATTTCCGAAGGTGGCCACCCTGAAGTCATCTGGTTGGGCTATTGACGGTGTGAGAAGGTCTTTACAGCGCAGTTGATGCTCGAGAAGTTAGTTATCAAACATCTAATACTATTACTGAAGCCGAAAATTCGGGTTAGCTTTTTTATAGTACATACGGTATATATCAGAAGAGACTCAAGGATATAACTTGATAGGAGGATTATAGCAAGAGAAAGCTTGGGGTGAGCTATTCACAAGGGGGGTTAGCGACGAGACGACGTGATGGAGGGTCCAGCGTCGACCGACTTGGCATAGTGGAAGATACTGGAATATGCACAGGATATGCTTGGCGCTTGTAATCTCATAGGAAACCCTTAGTCCGCGCGTCCCCTCCCCCATTCACCCTGGCTCCTTGTTTGAGTATGGGCAGTAAATGTTAAGTAGTCGCGCCGCCAGATTAAGTGTCTCTCGGCAAAAACTCTTCGAACTTCTCCAGTAGATCTGGATCATCCTTGAAAATCTCTCTCATCTTGTCGTGTATAGGAGGCACAGCCACTGCAGCCTCTGGTATCTGTCCTTTTCCGTAAAATTCTCCGAAGACTTCAAAGAACTTCGTAAGAAGCTCTGGACGGTCGGGAGTCGCGCGGGCCTGGGGACAGCATGCGAGGTTAGGTCTGCTCTAGCATGAGGCGAGTTGTGGGATTTTGCCTAATCGGTTAGAACCCCACCTTGACCTCTTCGATGAATATCCTCGCCTTGCCCATGTTTCCTGGGCACTGCGGGGCGGTTGGAGGCTGCTCAGTCGCACCTTGGTTGCTGGCACAGTCGCTCGTCATAGTCAGGAGTTCTCCTGGTTACGATAGAATATTGATGAACTATTTCGTCCAGGTTTGAATCGGGGCAGGGAGGTGTTCAGGCATATAGTTGTGGCGGAAAGGAGAGGAGGATGTGATGGAAGAAGGGAGAGGACCTGGAGGGTGAGCATGGAGGATTCGTAACCCTATAACGGATAGTAGCTCACCAGCATCCTTCATATCCCGCTCGACCGAGCTGTCCCTGTCTCATTAATCAATGCGGGTAGAATACAACCTCTGTTGTCTCGAAGTTCACAATGTAGTCACTGCTTGAAAGCTGAAAGGTGTGAACGAAGAAAAGACTTTAGTTGGCCGCATTAGCTTTCGTTCATTTTATAAGAAATCGACCTAAAACTTCCAGCATTTCATGGTCCATACATGTACAGTAATGAGTGGTTCATCTGCTTTCTGAAGATCTACTGCAAACCCGGAGACAAGTATCCTCTGCGATCAATCTCTACAAGCAGAAGTCACATTACGCCCATACCGCTGCGAGAAAGGGCTAGTAACCGGCGCAACTCACACGACAACGCAAATAAAAAGCGGATTGGGGATCCAGGCCCCGGCGGGGTGACTCAAGAGGAATAAGACGCGTATATAAGCCGGCCATATAGCGTACTGAATCAAAGGCATTTACTTAATAGGTAGTTAAGCTGCGTTGACGATGACCGGCGCTCTTTGCCAAGAAGCTCGAGCTGCTGAGCTGGACCACGGCGAGCAAGTAGATAACAAGGATCATACCGTGAGGCACACACAACTGAAGAACATTTTTAATCGTACGTCCTAATACGCCTAGACCACAGGCAGTAATTGTTTAAAGTGCTTCAAAGAAACAAGTCAATCCAAGCTGCCAGTGCTTCTCGGACGGGCTAGCTACCCAAACGGGTGATATGCATCGTTACCTACTGCATCACATAATCAAACAGGGCCGATGGTCTAGCGGTATGATTCTCGCTTAGGGTAACACCCTTAGCACGCTTCGTGAGCAATCACGAAGCTAAATTGCGAGAGGTCCCGGGTTCAATTCCCGGTTGGCCCCCTTATTTTGTTTCTTTTTACTTCATCCCTGTAAACTAATATTTAGACTGTTGCCGGGTTTGTTACCCAAAGTTTCCCTTTGTAGATTACTTTAGCCCTGTTGTGTCAAGTCTCTAATGGAGACAAGCGAGAGAAGTACATATATGCTCGATATTACATCGTATATCTAAAAATTCCCCGCAAGTGGAAGCGTGTACTGTAGACGATACAAATCCCTCTTCCCAAGCATGATTCTCCTTGATGTGTAATCTGTAGAGTATAGGACGACCCTGTATTGAACCTCGACTCAAACTGGTCCTCACTCTCATGTGAGTCGAATGGATCTCCTCTACTTGTGAGCCTATTACTGTAAGGCAATCGCTGGGCCCGCTTGGCCGAAACTTAGGAATCTCCGTGTCTTAGTAGATCTTGTGGGCTATGCCACGTTTCATATAGACCGGGCAGGATATGGAGCTACGATAAAGTCCCTTCGAGGTAGGACACAGCGCTCGTACACAAGCGCCAGCATTCTTCGGCTCAACCATCGTCAAATGCTGGCACCGACGCTTCACGCGTAATCCATTGAAACAAAGCATATAGCTCACAGAGAAATGCACGGCTCTTCAACTTCATGAACCTGAACCAACTTCTGGACTTCAACAGCGTATACGTCAGACTATTGCCCTATTACCTCAGCGTTTAACCTGTTCGATAACTGTGGGCAACAAATATGGAAAAAAAAAGGAAACATGGGTCCTTATGAACGTCGGAAGCCGAAGAGTGTTTGGGCTTGATGGATATAGGAGATATAGAAGGCATAACCGGATTGTATTAGGGCTCGTACAAGATGCATTGGTCGCTAGGCCGACAGGGAACACGAGTCATAACCCAATGGTCGACATGAATGGCGAATCGGTGTCATCACCTACAGGAATAGGAAAATGAGGTGTCAACATGTACATACATCGCCGATACCCCCGTGCCAGGCTGGTCTGCTCTCCCCCATGTGAGATAGCACACTGTCACATAAATCTCCATTTTTCCAGTCTTCTCCCCACAATAGAACACCACCAGTGTTACAAATATGGACAAAGGAGGCTTACTACCAAGGTGGGACAGAACTCTATGTTCATGATTGGACTGTAGGCGTGCGGAACGCAAGACCCATACTATCGCATATCTGTCTAGTTTCATGTATAGGGGAACCCAGCCAAGGGTCACTCCCCTATCCAATGAACACAATCCCTTACCGCTAGAGGATGTGAATTGTAGGAGCCCCTTGGCCCTTGCTGCTGAAACTCGAATAGGAAAGGCTTATACTTTATTAAAATTCCATGCTAGGCCAGAATTACACGCGCTTGTAGCTTAGCATGGAACTTTGATAAACAATAGAACCCCAAAAAGAGAAAATACAAAAAAGCGAAGGACAAAAAAAATAGCAGGGGGCCAACCGGGAATTGAACCCGGGACCTCTCGCAATTTAGCTTCGTGATTGCTCACGAAGCGTGCTAAGGGTGTTACCCTAAGCGAGAATCATACCGCTAGACCATCGGCCCATACACACACATGTCGTGGAGATATCAAGGTGTGAATGTATAGCCTGTGAGATGATTGGTCTTTTGTGAAACTATCTCCAGTCATTGCAATCAGTACTCAAGGTTCTTATGTCGATCCTATGGGATACGCAGTTGGGGGACGCCCAGGGGGGACGGGGGGGTAAGAAGAGGGGTGGGGCGAGCAGGGCCTTCCCGGCCAATTGTATGCATGCCCCTCGCCCATGTCCATGACCAGGCAGGCTGTCGTTTTGTTAAAGTCTGGCCACAGGCCTCTACTTTCACATACTCTTACGCTACCTAAAGGGGGAATACAACAATGAGCATCAGTACAGGTGAAGGCCCTTCCCAATAACAAGGCTGCTTTTAGACTGTGGCGGGGCAGATATTGGAATGATCAAGCGCTGACGCAGTAGGAGAACAAGGTGGTGCTATGTTGCACAACTACTGGATGTATTAACCTCATCTCCGTAGGGTAACTAAAGATTGATCTCTTGAAAGTACGCCGTTGTTACTTCCATTAGAGCTTGAGAATCACCTGGTGCGCGGCGTCCTTATCCGCGTCATCATTGAATATGTTTACATCCCACTTGGGCGAGTCTGGTAAAGAGTTAGTAAGGTGCAGGGGAAGTTGAATCGCTAGGTCTAACTCACAAGTCGTGGGGATGTTGAACCGCCGAGGGTTGTTCCCCAGCGCATCAAGAGCTTGGACGGCCTCGTCGTCAAGGTCCACCTCCTGGAAGTTCTCCCGGATACGCGACGCGGTAACCGACTTGGGAATTACCGCGTGGCCGCCGATCTGGGACCAGGCCAGGACGACCTGAGCGGCGGTAATGGTCTTTCCCTTGACCTTGGAGAGACGCTCGGCGACGGCCTTGACGTCCGGGTCGTTGACCAGCAGGGGAACGCCGAAGCTGTTGTTTCCGAAGGCGGAGTATGCGGTGATCAGGATGTTCTTCTTGGCGCAGTACTCGACCAGGGCAGGGTTGGGAAGCCTCGGGTGGCGTTCGACCTGGTTGACGGCGGGCACGACGCCCGTCTCGGCGATGACCTGCTCGATCTAGACACGGGAGTCAGACACGAGGGCATGTGTCGTAGAAGGAGATAAATGCTCGACTTACATGCTCAATAGAGAAGTTGGAAACGCCAATGGTGCGGACCTTGCTCTTCGGGAGCTGGGTCAACGCTTTTATGAAGGAGGATTATTAGCGGACTGCCCGTGTCTCTGATTCGATTCCGATGGGCTTCTTACCCCTCCAGGTGTCAGAGATCGAGACACCGTCGTCAATAGCCACTTCGGCATCGTTACCGGCCTTGCGAGGGAAGAGATCATCTCCGTTGGGGAAAGCAACGGGCCAGTGGATCAGGTAGAGCTAGAATGCGTTAACAGCGCGGGATACTTTCTACGAGGAAGGGAGCCAAAAAAAAATCTTACATCCAGATAGTCCAACTCGAGTTCGGCCAGGGTATCGTCGAGAGCCGCCTCTACATTCTCGGGGCGGTGCTTGTTGTTCCACAGCTTCGAAGTGATGAAGATGTCCTTGCGCTCAAGGCCGGGCACCTCCGCGAGAGCCTTCTTGATGCCCTGCGCGACCTCACGCTGGTTCTGGTAGATCTTGGCAAGGTCGAGGTGACGGTAGCCGGCCTTCAGGGCCTCGAAGACACCAGCGCCGACCTCACCGGGGGCGGCCTGCCAGGTGCCGTAGCCCAACAGGGGGATGGTGTGACCTGAGCTCAGAGTGGCAGTCTTACCGGACGACATGGTGGGACGGGCGGGGTGGTGAAGTATTACAAAGGTAGAGAATAATTTGTTGGCGTTGTCTCACTCGCTAGTTTTTGAGGACGAAGTTTACCTTTCACCCAAGGTACCCAGCAGGAGCTTGGTAGGCGGCTTGGCTAAATACCTCAAGAAAGCCGTAGTCCCCTAGGAAACGTGACCTGGAACCCCCCAGCCCCTCACTTAGCATCAAGCTAAGCCCCGCTCTCGCGTGATGTCGTCATATGAGTGGTCTCGTCGATTGCTACGATGGATATTGGCTGTGGGGCGTCCGTTGATAAGCTAGTGCAGGAATCTAGGGGATAATAATAATATCCGCTCTTGGTAATAAGCTTTTTGGTCCTGAAACAAGTTCTAAATTCAGGTAGAAGAACTGTAGATAGAACCCAAAGTCAACAGGCGCTATCGAAAATAACGTCATACACGGGCTTAACCACACCACCAAGCGCTAATTGCCGTGCTAGTTCACGACCTTGGCCTGTTTCAGTCTCCTTGCTCAAGCTTGAGCCATCTCATTCTTCCTGTGTCCCCTAACATTATGGCCTAAACATAAACGCGTACTTCTAGGTAGGTCAAGTTTGAACCAGGTTCCGGATGAAGATTTTACTTCAGCCCTTCAAATAAATCGACGTGTTGAAATCTATTGTGTGCCGAGACGACTCGACTTTTGATAGTTCAGGTTCAGGACGATCAGAGAAACCGGAGCAAGGGATATGACGATTGGTGTAGTCTAAAAGAAGCTCCTCTGATAGTTCAGATACACCCAGGACACAACGCTGAAGCTCATCTTCTCACAGGATCAATCTAATCTGTGCTTAAATCATACGATCTTCAACGTCCTCCTCGTCCAATCGCGATACTTGGTATCCGGATAAGACATCAGGGAGGCAATACCTGCCCTTCGGTAGACGGAGAATTCCCCGGTTCTCTCTAGAATGAGACACTGGCCGCGTTTGTATGGATATTCGTTTTCCAACCCACGCTTGCCTAATAAAAGAGCCGTGTACTCCTTTCGAGGAACCTGCTCGACCTCCTTCAGATAGTGGTCCACATCCACATCATCGATAAACTGCGTTCTCTCTATCACTTCGACTAGTCGGGGCGGCAGGCCCGATTGAGATTGCCGCTCCTCAACTATCCTCGTTGAAAGCCTCGAACCAACCGAGTCCTTTTCGTTGTCGAGGAGGGACTCGTCCCACATGACGTACCCCAAATTCTCTCTAGACTCCGGATCCTCTGTGTCGACTTGGAATGTCCGGCACAGTTCCATTGCAAGTCCAGAAACAACAATATGCCCAGATAGGACTTCTCCGTAGCAGTTGGCCTTGTCCTTGGACTGAATCTCGGACGAGAGCAGGCGGAGTTTGTCCGGGTCGTCCGCGTCGGAAGGGTCAATGTCATGGAAGTAGAACTGGTCGTCGGTCACGGCCCAGGACCATGACGGGGCTCTATAAGGAACCACGTGCTTGGCCCACCGCATCTCCTTCACCCACATCAAACCACCGGAAATATCTGTCGACCATAGGCCTGCCAGATAGTCGCCTCGTAACGCAGTGTGGATCCGCTGAGCTAAGCCGGAGAGAGCGGGAAGTTTGTCCGAGTGGACCGTCAGCCGCCTATCGCCGAAGTCTGTCACTATTCCATAGTACTCCTTTAGCAAGGCATATCTATCTAGACGGCCGCCCGCGTGGA